GCATCAGTTCTCCTCCCTCCAGCTGCAGCCGGCAGCCGCTCTGACAGAGGCTGCATGGGGAGCGGAGAGCTGCCGCGGCATTCCCCTTGTCGCTTCAATTCCACCCCCCACCCGGGGCCGTGGAAGGGGATGAGCCGAGGGAAAGGAGCTTCGCCGCCCCCCGGTATTTCCCGCGCGAAGCCCCGGGAAAGAGAAGGCAGGGGAGAACCCACCTGGGCTAAGGGAGCTCGGGGCGCCGCAAGAGGAAAAAGTGGGCGCGTGAGGTGGAGGGACGGAGCCGCGTGCAAAGCTGCTCCGAAGAGAAGGCGGCGGTCGCGGCGTCGCCCGCTTTCTCTTCACGAAGCCGACCAAGTCCCGCGAAGAGCACGCGAAGACGGCGGCGGCGGCTCCTCCAGGCAGCTTCGGGGCCCTCTCCTCCTCCCTCCTCCCTTCCGAGGCTGTGCAGTCTCGCCCTCGCTCGACGCCTCGCGGGCGCTCCCGCCTGCCCGTCGTGCTCGGAGAAGGGAGGCCGGGCTGTGCCAAGACCTGGAAGCGTAGAGGCTGCCGGAGTGGGATTCAGTGCTAAGTCATCCTCCCGAGCTGAGCAGGAGCGAGCGAACGAGCAAGCAAGCGAGGTTCGCCCGCTCCAGGCCCCTTTCTCTCCTCTTTCAGCGGGTCTTGGCGAAGGGATGGCGACGCGCGTGGGTGTGCTCAGGACGCTGCCCTTACTAGCTCTTCTTGAAAGGATACTTGAGCACCCGGCTCTTTACAAAGGAGTATGCCATCGCTTTGGAGAAATGCCCCTCATTTTCTTTTCCCTTAAACCAATCGTAGAAATATCCCGTTGGCTGTAGAATATTACATGCACCTATGCATGTGATATCTACTCATACATATGTGCAACTGGGTAATATTAATGTGGAATAGAGCCTGTTCCATGCATTGCAGAGCAGTAGAAAGACAGATAAGTATGTACACATGATTTAAATTAAAACTGAATGAGCGACGCTGCTAATCACTTCAAATATTTGTATGCTGCCCTTCAGAACACTTTTCCCTAAGATGAGGAGGAGTATAAAAATATGAATAACAGCAGCAGTTTAACAGTTTGGGTTCCAGCCAAAAAAAGTGAAATGTAATACAGTATTGAGACAATGTGATATGAGGGCTTTCCAAAATCAGACACCCACAACTAGAAGGTCATAGGAAGGCTACTGAAAGCTTTAAACCCTCTTGGTAGGCTGGGCTGAAGAAACCAACCAGCTTGAAGTGACATGGTGAGCTTCCATAGACTTGAACCTAGATCTCCTTGGTGCCAGTCCAACACCTTCGGATTTGTACCAATAAGGTTGTTTATTCCAGCTACTAACACTAGGTTGAATGATGGCACCTGCAGCACAGAAGTAAATTCCCAGACTGGCCATATGTTACTTCCTTCTGCTATTGTCCAAGAATCATTAGATATTCTGTTCTGCAAGATGACATAGATGGAAAGAACTAATGAATAAAAGGAGAAATCCTGGCTGGACAAGAAATTATTGTTCTTGTACATCAGCAGCATGTCTGAGAATCACAAGTATTTTAATATTTCTAGGAGTTTTCCACACTAGGGTGATGGAGGGGATAAGGGAGCAAGACTCAAGTAGCTGGAGTCTTGGAAGCAGCCCAGAACACTCTTGAAACAGTTTTAATTTCTGGTGTCCTTAATAACATACTATGGTATTTATAAGATAAAAATGCCTTCCATGATTTTATAACTTCCAAATGGGTTATTGTTTGGATCAGGGGTTTTTTCAAGAGTTCCACAAGAATGTATTTATTTATTAGATTTATATCCTCCCTTTGTTCAGTTCAAGGCAGTGGATTTGATAGGTTTCCACGAGAGATCTAGGGAACAAAAAGTTAATTCAAATGCAATCATTTTCCATCACCGCCTCTTGATCAGGGGTTCTGGGGATTTTTTTCTTTTTAACTAACAGGTTCCATGGTCTGAAACAGTTTGAAAACCCCTGGTTAGCCCAGGCAGGATGGGAATTCTAGGTATTGAATCCAGCAAATTTGGAAAGCAGTTGCTTTCCTAGCTTTATGGAAGAGTAATCAACTGGTTCAAACTCTATTCTGCAAGAGCATCTTGCAAATAATATACTGTCCCATATTGTGTAGAATTAGAGGGCACAAGAAGAAGAGAGCAGAAATGACAGATAATGCATTATCTTTTGTAAAAGGGCAGATGACTCAAGCAAGTCATCCATCCACAAGGGAAAGGAAAAACAGAGTCATTTAATAAAGGGGTACCTTGCCAGGAAATAGTCCAGCTGCTCTATCAAACATGTTCTTAATGTTGAGGAATGACCTTCAGCTCTACTTGTCAGCTGCAACAATAGTAATTTTCACTATAAGATTCTTACAGCGCAAACACTCTGATCAGAAATGTCACCAGCTCTTTCAGCAATCCTGAAAGAATCAGTACTAAACATTTCAGTATTTAGGAATGAGGTTTCATCAAGCAATTCCAAAAACATTCTGTGGGCTCATCCACACAGCAACAGTAATGTGCTTTCCCTTCCATTACTGAGATAGGAGGAAAGTGCGTCAGTACAAAAAGCAGTCTACCTTTCCTGTGCCTTGAGAATAGGGCCGGTTAGTGCTGCTGCTCTAATAGAATACAAAATACTGTAAAACAATGATTGGTGGGTTCTCTGCTATCCTTTCCCCTCCCAGCCCATGCTGCCACCAGTCATTCCCCTGAATGTAAAAAGTCTCCCCAGCTTTCTAGTGTTGCAGGCTCACTTCATTGAGAATTGTTTTCTATTTAACAAGTGGAGAAACAGAAAGATTATTCAATCAGTTTCTTGATCCACATCACTGATAGGATTGCTGAAAAAGCTGGGGACATTTCTGATCAGACTGTTTCCACCAACAGCTACAGATTGCCTTCCATACTGAATGGTCACCAACTAAATTAATGTAATTACTATACATGGGGAAATCAAAGGTCCTTTTATTCAGTGGCATTTGTAAAGGAAGATCTTTCTCAAATGGCAACTGCAGCTCATACACTGTATTTAGACGACAGCACTAATCTTTCAATATACTGTAATATTCATTGGGGAAAATATCCACCTGCATTCATTCTTATATGAGGTTAATAGTCCCACTTATATGAGGTTAATAGTCTCACTATCAAAATAAGCTGGGCAGGCAAAATGTTTGGTCTTTCTCCTAATCACAGCTGAAATGACCTTGGAAGAGAAGAGTCCAGTGACCAGGGATGATTCCACAGCATAGATAGACACTAGCTCATGGCTGACCTCCAAAGTTTCCTCCTCTACAGGCCATAAACTGCGCGTAGGGGATCTTCTGCAGTAGCAGGGAAAATACCACTTTCATGCCAGAAATCCTTATATTATCCAAGGACTCATTTACTTGGCAGTTTCTTGCACTACTGGCTTAGTATCATGCCATGCAAAACTAGAAAAATAGAAAGCAAATACAGAGGAGGGGGAAGAGGAGGAAGTAATCTTCTTACAATTAATATGTGAGTCATGCCACTCAGCATGTAGTTAATTCAGTGAAGATGGGAAGGAATGATGCGGCACCAATTGAGGCATACACTCACAAACTATGCATTGTAACTATCTATACATAGTTGTCAGTGGGTACTGATCTGACTCATTCCACATCTGTAGATTTCTGATGCTATCTATGTGGAAATGCAGTATTTTCACAGATTTATGCCCTATCATCCTCCCACCTAGATGAGTATCAGTCTGAAGAGGTAGATGGAATCATCTTCATAGGTAGTTAAAAGCAAATCCTATTTAATCCCAACACAACTCTTAGTCTGTTTTTCCTTAGAAGTGTTATATTTAAGCTCTCCATTAATTATTCCTTGCTCATTATATACCAGAGCTATACTAGCAATAGTATTTAGACATCAAAAATTATTGGCTAAATTTAGAACATAGCTATTAGATGATGCCTTACTCTGTAAGCTGCCTCCGAAAGCATAGTATATTGCATGGCAAAGTAAAAAAAGAACCTATGCAGCATGCTTTGAATGCCATTTATATGACAAGCTGATAAAAATTACTTTTTGCAGGGTTAAGCTGAGGATCAAAGAAGCTAAATCTAGCAAGAGTCATTAATACAGTAGAAAATGAACAGATACAAATCAAATCAAAGAGTACGATATGTAGTCTTCCACTTCTAAAAAGTGAGCATGGCAAAGGTTGGTAGATTGCTTTCTTGACATTTGCTGCAAATGACAGCCACCACCAATCTCATCCAAAATCTTTCCCAATTAACTCATTTTTGACATAATTAGAAAAGATCACACATATTTAAATACTATTGCTATTCAAGATAAACTTTAATCTCCACTAGATTCATTAGAGGAGACAGTTATGGAGGATACAGCAAGGAGCTGAGAGCTCAAGTGCAACGTGGCAGTGGAACAGACGAGAAGAGCTAAGGTGAAGATACTGTAATTCATAACGTATTCAAGGTACACTTTCAAGCAAGAATGAAAGGAAGTGGGACAGAAAATAATACTGTACAAAGCAGCATAATGCAAAGCAAATTCAAAAAGCATCTAATGCTACCTTTCATAACCTAATGTTGCAGTCTGGGAATCTTTTAAAATCCTTAAAATACAAAGTCATTTTTTAAAACATAAAATATTTGCAATTAAATAAGGGAGGCAATCAATAGTAGGTGTCTACACAATATAAACTTACTGTTTGTACTGGGCTCATTATGTTTTGGTAAAACTGCTAATAATGATTGGTTGAATTAATCTAATACTCAAGGAAACTGAAGACAATTAGGTAGGTTTATTTGAATGAGTTAGAAATCCCTGAGCAGAACAGAACAGCAAAGATCTTGGAAGAGATCCAGAATAATTAAGGGCGTAAGAAAGGAGAAGGCAACACTCCAATGAAAGCTGATTTAAGGAATATTTGTCCAGAGAAACAGGACCACCCGACGAAAGAATCAGAAGGGCAAAACAATAAATAGACAAGCAAATAGGTAGACTCACATTTACAGTGCCATGCAAGGATGAAATTAATATATTGAAATAATCAACTAATTGATTGGGAGTGCAGTAGACATTTTTAGTAGACATGAACACTGCTGATACAATCTTGAAATTACCCCAAACACCTTTGCTCCCCTGTTCTTACATAATAAGAGAGGCTGTAATTAAATTACAAACACTAAAAATGAGACTGTTAACTAAAAGATGTTCTCCAGATATCCAAGGATGACCTTTTCCACACAGGAATGAACTCCTTTCTCTAGTGTACTTTGCAGCGTCCTCAGATAAAAGTAGGAGTGGATCAAAAGACTATGGACTCTCTAATATCAGTTCCTGAAAATGGACATTAAAATTTGAAATGTGTTACCTGTCCAAAATGTTTGCCTAGTCTTGATCTCAGCTAGTGATCCTTGGAGCAAAAATACTAGTTATTTGTAGCGCAGGTTGTAAATGGTTATAGTAAAATGAAGGGACCTGAGTTTCCTTTTCTTTTTAAACATGTGTATGGCTTCGAGTGTGAAATTAAATATAAAGAACTATATTTTAAGGTCTTTGGGGGATGTTTCTCATTATTTGCATAAAGGGGCAAATTGCCTTCTTTAACCTCAGCTTCTGACAAGAATTAATCACCTGCGAAAACAGATTACTTCAGAAAACTAAATGTAGAAAATTCACTCTTAAAATGAATATAGTTGTGAAGTTCTATTTTAATTCTGGGATGTTTGTGTAGATTTATTGAAATATTCTTCAGAGAAGAGTTTCGGATTCATTGAAAGTAGAATGCCTTGCCTATTCTTCTTCTTTTTTTTCCTGACAAAGGTCTTCTTGAAAGCCCAAGTAAAACATATGCATTTTTCAAGTCCTCCAACTATACCTAGGAAGAAGACAAAAAAGTCTTTGTAAGTGCTAAAGGATAAGATTTCTGA